GTATGAAGTAACTTCGAAAGGTGAACAAACGTGCAATAGAAAGTCATTACAAGATAACAGTTAACAATGAAAATGTTCCTTTGGAACAAATGGAACAAATGAGAAGACGTTTCTTCTTCTTCTTGCAACTGAAAGAGTTAAACAACGATTCAAGTTACCCAGAAAATTTGTTTTGTCTCAAAGTAAGAGTAACCATCCCCTAATGTAATAGTCGTCAAAAGCAAGAGAAAGGAATTCGTGATTCGAAAAAGAAAGAGGCGAGGGATCGAGAAATGTTTTTTTGTAAGAAGAAACAACAATTACGGTGTCTGTTGTTCGGACGTGATGCCAGTGAGCGTGAAGAACATTGATAGAGAGCTTCGCAGACCTGAGGGCGACGAGATTGTCGGTGTCGGATTGTTTGTTGAACCGTTGCAAGATGGTATAGACCATTCCGAGGAACCTGGGCTGTATAGACTTTGCAGCGAGTAAGAAGAGCCATTGCACGAAGGGGTGCTGCACCTCGTGTCGAAACCTGATCCAAATTACGGGAAACGCTTCGTTTTTACAATAAATTTCCTTACATAAATTCAATAATAATAATAAATTCAATCTGTCGCCAAAAAGATACTTCAATTAGCAAGGAAGTTAGTGAATAATTGGAATACTAGGAAAGTTTGCAAAAAGTTTCAAAGAACCTTCGTTTTATTACTTAAACTAATATTTTTCATTAATTAGATTATTTTTATTATATGGTATTCCGATTCAACTTTGAGTTCAGTGTCCGATATCTAAATCGTAATTCACATTTTCATCGGATGTCAACAATTTTATAACATTTGCCAATGCTTCGATACAATTACATACCCGACGGATTGGAACCAAATGTGCGCTGGTATAACTGCAAGATCTGCGAGTGTGCATGTTGATAAACTCGCCAAGCTTTACGTAACATCCAACCACCTCGCACGTAACCAGTTAGCTCTTGTTGCAGTAACGTTAATATCGCCGTGCAGACTTGCGAGTCTGCAAGAACTATCTGCCTCTCCAATTTACTTACATAGTCCTTCTACAACATTTATTTTCTCATCAATACTTCTTCATTACCTCTATTCGCCTGCTCTTTCACTGTGTTTAACTCTGCCGATATACGATTTTCATAACAATTAATTTCAAGTCAATAATATGACACGAAGATGTATATATATATATATATATATCGAACGTGTTGTAATACAAATGAAACTGATAAGCAAATTTAAATGATAATAGTTACGCCTGTTTCTTCCGCTTTGAAGACTTTACTCTTCACAGACTTCAACCATCCTATGTCACTCGCGCATTCTCTTTCCATATCCTTCAGCAGAAGTATCGCCTGCTGAAGCTTGTCGTTCTCAAAGGTCATCAGTGCATTCTAGTAAAATTTATTTAACGATTATTCCTTTCCGTTCCTATTTCAAGGGAGTACTGATTAAGATTGATCTGATGGATAATGCGGTCAACAAAAAACGTGCAAACCGGCACGCGATACGTTATCCGGGCTATTTTCGTCTCACTGGTGGCAAGTTCTTTTTTTAAAAACAACGTAACAAATTTCCCCTTCGAGCTTTGTATGTTTAGAATTTAATTTTTTATTTTTACAGAGGCTCGGTTAAAATTATCTCGAGGAACTTTTCCTTTTCTTTTTATTCATTTTTAATGGAAGTAGAGAATATACAGAACAGTTTACGCACCATGAATAAGACAAAGCAGCGACCTGCTTTTATGTGGAAACTATGCGGGTGTCCGGTAAATAGGGCTTCCGCTTCCTCCGTTTTGTTGTTCAAAAGCAGAGAAATGCCCATCCTAGCGATATTCCACTCCTTCGTGTCGTCCGATTTTTTAGCCATGATTCTTCTTTCTTTCGAGGCGAGAGAAGTTTGCCCCGATCGGGATTGTACTTGTAGTTTTGGAAATCGAAACGACGGTGAATGTGCGCGACGCGAGAGCCACGTGTGCGTTTCAGCGACTGTTAAAATTAATGCTTCTGCTTTTCTCTTGACAAAACAATCTGATAGCGGTATTCCTTTAATGCGTCTTGGAGCAATTTTTTAATCAGAAGCAGCACTAATGTGTATGTACAGTTGTCGATGAATTTACGTCACGGCACTGTCAGACACGGTATATCACCGTGGATAAGTATGCAAAGTATTCCCTTCGAGCATGCTTGTCTTCTTCGTTGAAGTGCATCTTGTAGGAGACGTGTCGAAGCTGGAAATCTTCGTCATAATATGATCGCGTTGAATGATCGTTTGAAAAGACTGAAACTGGTCGACATTACGCGGCTTTGTTATAAAAATTTCGTCACTCTTGAAAGGTGTATTCGCATTCTAAATGCATTTTACAGATTTGTGGAGCTTGTAGCTGATTGCAGATATTGTATAAGCAAACTTCTTCTGCAATGTTCCTCATACAGAAGAAAATTAATTTGCGCAGTACATCCTTGTGAATATTTTAACTGCCTTACTCGTAAGAGCCAAATCAATTACGATTGTACGAAATGCTTATTTCGAATTTATTGTCCTCACGATTTACTCTAATCTGCTTCTCCTCTTTCTTTTTTCTTCGTTATTTTTATTATTGAATTTAAATATTGCTTTCTTACTGTATAAGTAATTACTGTTGAAAGAAGTGCGAGATTTTGTTTCCTCAGGTTTCATTGATAGTTATAGAAAACTACACGTTATCACCACTGGTTCAAGCAGAAGATTTAAAAAACTATTTCGTACTTGCTGGTAAATAATATTAAAACGTGACATTTGCTAAACAGAGCTTTCTATCTACGGTGCCACGAGTTGACTAAAATGTCTCTCGGCATAGCGCATTGCTGCTGCCACCACCTCGCGTTTTCATATATAGATATTATTGATTTTAGACTATGTATATTACGACCCTGGAGGCGCATTACGATATTGGGCAAAAGTTCCATCAAAGTAACTTTGAGAGGCAGAAGTGCAAAAACAGGAATAAGATGAAACAAATTGACATGTTCTGTTATAAATAATATACGATCAATGTATAAAACAAATTTTTATGTCATAATTTTCTATACGTCGTTGGTTTCGGATAACATTCTCTTTTATAGTTTTATAATAAATTTTCGTCAAATATTTATATGTACATTATATTTACAGTCGTTTATGTAGACGTTTATAAGTGTGATGCTCTTGTTATGAAAGTAAAAGTACATTCGAAGATAACAATACTGGCAATTGAACGAAACGCAGTACTATAATGTTATAATAATAGTATGGAACTATAAAATCTCTGTACATTTATTTACATTCTTCAGATTTTATAGGAATATTCCTGAGTGGAATGTCATATAAATTCTAGCCCTTCGAATTTTTTATCCATTACTTTAGTCTCAGGCATTATCACGTTTCCATCAATCGTAAATGCCACGATGTACGTAGCTGTCTGTCCTTGGTATTCTTCAGTTTTAAGGGCGACAATAATCGAATCCTGAGAGCTTGGCAAAAATTTGAAACTTGAGAAACCTCTGATTGGTACTAAATTACCAACTTTGATAACCTGGAAGTAAAATATTGCGATTTCTTTTTTTCATTTGTCAATTTAAACATTAAACTTATAATCAAAAGTAGACAAATACCTTAATATCTACAAAATTTTCATCCGCAGTTAGTAAGATGTTGCAGCTCATTGTTTCATCCTTAGTTTCATTATAGCGTTCATGACAACACCTTCTTGGCAAAAAGAACCAACTTTTATGTACATCGCTCCAGGCACCTGATTCATGAATCATATAACCTGCGTGAAAATATTATAAAAGGTTTTTCAATTAAAATTAAAATTAAAAGAATTGCATGTAAAATGTATAATTACATACCTGGATATTCAATATTTATTGCTTGTCTTAATCGCTTATAATTTGAAATCCAATTCAGAGAGTGAATTTCACCACGTGGAGATACTATTTTTATCCAAAGAGGATTGTTATGTTCAAATTCCCCTGAAGGAGTGGTCCATTCCTTACCCATACTGCCAACATATAGATGCTCGTCTTTAACAGTTGCCCATTCAGATTTGAATCCTAAAATTAATACCATGAATTTTGAATGTGACACCAAGTTTTATAAATCTTGATGAAATTGAACATAGGATTCACCTTTCGAGCTTTTGCCATTGCCGTCCATTAAAATAATCCAGGGATAAGCTTCTTCTCCTTCAATGAAATATACAATTCCTGTACGATCATCGAAAGATAATAAGTGCCCATTAAATGTAACCAATTCAGACAATTCCATGCCACGTCCTTTCATAGTTAAAGAAGATGTTAACATATGGTTTCTGTCATCCCAAACAACAGACAAAAAATTTGTGCTAGGATTCCAAAAAAGACTTCCAGTTTTCATAATACTGTGCCACACGTTTTTCTTATCTAAACTTTTGGAATCATGGTCAAGATCACTTACTATTGCTATACGATAAGTGATACCCTTAGATGTCTTGATTGGAACTGACAGAGGGTACGTTTTATTGTACTTGTAATATCTACACTGTGATAAAAATTGATTCGATGGCGATGAATGTACAACACCTCGCAACAATGGGAATCCAAGTAGAAACAGAGGAACAGATAACAATAGGAAAATTAAAGCCAAATATTGGCTTTGGATGCGAAAAGTACTATTGGCAACTCTGTAGACATGAGGAGCACGCAACGCTTGTCTCCAGTCACGTAAATATGACATGGTTTCTACGTTTCCGTTCTGCATTCGCATCCGTTTCATACCATATTACATAGAAAAATTAATACGCCAAACTTATAATACGTGTCAACTAAAAGCTAACCTAACATAACCTAACTTCTTTTTTCATCTTAATTGACAATGGTGAAAGGGAAATGCAGACAGTCACATGCATCAGCGCCATCTGGACAGATTAAGAGATTTAAATAACATTAAAAAGAAAACCATAAAATGTTGTTAGTTTCCGTAAGTGTCTGTTTAATATCGTGTAATTTGAATATTACAAGGAGTATTACACAATATGGTAAGGAACATTGAAATTCAAAGAATATTCTTTGTTTAGTGTATAAAAATATATATGATAGAAATGATATAACATACAAATTGTAAGAAATAATTTTGTAATCGGTGGATTTGATATATATTTTATGTTTAGGATTATAAATATTTGAAAAGTTTTATGACAATCTTTTATTTTAAAATGATAAATCCACATGCGAAATAACATTGAACATAGTGACAAATATGTAATTATTAAATGCAAGATACTGATCTTGTGTCATGTTATTGCATTTTCTAAAGCTGTCTTCTAGTTCTTTTATTTTAATTACTAGTATTTAGTTTTCGTACTTGACTAACGTTAAATTCTACAATTACGAAATATATAGTACTGTCAGACAACGAACATTTGTTTATTTTTTGCAATAATGATTTAATCAGCCTTGCATTTCAATTGAGTACGATCTAGTAATAGCACGTGATTTTTAAATAAAATAATTATTCAACTTTTTATACTTATTAGTAACAACGTTATGATTTGATTATAGATGTGTCTTGCGTCACCTGTGTCTTACGTAGTGTCAAGTACAAATTGCGAGGTGCAATGGACAATTTGACAAAAAAATGATTTTGACGATCGACGTCAATGTTACGAAAGGAAAACGCAGGAGAAGGTCAAGAAGTTTCTTTTGTCGAAAAGGTATCAATTTGTATCGTGCCAATAACGGTGCAAGTATCCGCAGCATATTCTTGAACGTTGGGGTTGAACGAACGAGTCTGGGGTGAAACGAATCGAGGGGGTGGAAAAAGGGGGCGGTGGAAAGGGGAGCCTATGAGGGTGGCAAAGTACTCGTCAGTCGTGTGACGCGTTTCCCGCGGACAACATCGGTTATATTGACAATACATTAAACCGCGACCGCATTTTTCGTTTCCACGTGTTTCTCGCGTGTGTCTTGTGTGATCTGATTTCCATTGGCTATCGCGTAGTCCCGCGGCAACCTGTATTATCGATCGAACGCGCTTTGCGCACGTTGCTGCAGTTACTCGTGGCACCGCCACTACCACCGCACGTATTCCTTTATTGTACTCGTGTTAACGTGACAACGCGTGTCGATCCGGCTCGATTTCTGATTTCTTTTACGCATTGCGGTCGTGTCCGTGCTTTCTCGATTCTGACAACCTTTTTATCGGCGTCGTTCCTCTCACAATACGCTTTACGTCAAAATTCCCGTCCAACCGCCATGTTACATTTCAAATTGTACGTTACGCGCATTGGTGAAAAACAGTTAACGTATAGATTTGTTTGTGCCGATTGTTGAACGCAACAAAGTGAACACATGTATCGTAATCTATGTGGTGCAGTCTCTTTTCTTATTCGTTTCATACTTCGACGAGACTGTAACGTAATTACATTTGGAAATTGCTTTGCACCCTCAGTGATCTGCAATCGATTTTGAAACTGTTTTATCGATGCCGTTCGATTATATATCGACTGACTACCAATGTGGCGGCAAACCGGCAAGAGAAGCCGTTACTTTTGTGGACTGCACGGCAAGAAGTGAAATTTGAAAGCTGCCACCGTTCAGGATAATTCATCGCGGTGCACATAGTAATGTGATTGCAACGTAATTACGGCGGAGTTAAAATGTAGAACGTATTCGCGCTTACGCGAGTGATTTTGTCGAAACGTGGTTATCGTGAATTTACGCTTTTGTGAGATTATGGTGTTATGGCTGGCAATATTTACATTTGACGTCCTCCTCTTTGCCTTTGTGGATATTCATCCATGCAACGCTACTTCAGCATCATCGTGTTCACATTGTAAAAGGTAAATCGTATAACCTACTAATATCGCACTTTCACTGCCGTAATTATTGGAAGTAGGGATTTATAAATAGAACACAATGTTCTCCAATGAAACAACTGGAATGCAATTGATTTTCTCACAGAGTGGATATGACTACTACAGAGTACAGTGTGTATATATAAGTAACTGTATGAATATCTTCTTCCTCAGTTATTATCAACGACTCATTATGCAAACATTGATTCCAGAATTAAGGGAATTCTATAAGAGCAATGGTCATTAACCTTTATGCGTATTACGAGCGATCAAGTGTGAAACCATTCCCTGGACAAAACAGTGAAAGTAAGGCCGGCACCGTGTATCCGAGATAGTCGCAGAAGTCGTGTGAAAGGTTAACAGGCAAAGAAACAGTCCACACGTTCACATCCTGAGACAAAGTATACATATTGGCTCATGCCGTTACCAGCTTGCATCTTCGATAAGACGATTTCAAAACTTCCCGCGACAAAGATGTCAAAATATTACCAACTGCTCGAACGCTTCATACCCAAACGTGGTACGATAATTATTTAACGGCTGACGTTGCGACATTGGCCGGTATCGTCAACAATAACCGAAAATAATGGCACAGAAACCGCATACAAGGTAAACGAACTAAGAAGCGTAGACTTCTCTGTTCGTTTCGTGCGTCACGAGAGGGTTCGTAGGTAATCTAACGCCAGGTAGGGCTGGTCGTAAGAAGACACCGGTGGTATATGTAAGAAGCATCGTCCATGACGACGTGTCGTCGGACATTCTTCAAGGTCGACGACCTTAACAGCGTCTCGTGGAAACGGGCCTGCTTGGACGAGACGTAATTGCGCTTAGAAGATGGCGCAGAAGGAGGACAGGTAAACGAGGATGGAAAAGAGACGGAGCAAGTGGAATAGGGGGTGACTTTGCGGGGTTGGTACGACGACACTGCAAGGGGGAGGGAGGGAGGGGGAGGGGGGAAGGGGGGCGGACGTGGGTGAGTTTCAGTGACGCCGTGCCAAAACGGAGGGTAACGAATGAACGTGGATGTAAAGGAGTCAGCGGAGGGGTGAGGTTAAGGGGGAGGACAGGGGAAAAGGGAAAGTGACTAGAGGGGTGGCACGAGCGGACGCGTGGACGTTTCGGTTGCATCGCGGTTATAGGTTTGCGTATCGCATTAGATCTTAGATTAGAAAACTCATCGAACCGTTCTGACTTTATCTAGGTAATTACTGCCTGCGAATTTATTTCGTTTCGAACGAACGAACGGCAATTTGAATTGGTAATTTTAATGATTAATTATCGAAATTTAATTCGGTTAATCGCTATGAATACAACGCGGTGATTTATGTAATGGGTCGAATTAAATATGGTAAAGTCGGAATGAGAATTGGTTTCATATATTTTGAGGTAAATTTTGAAGTGTATCCGAGATTTAAACTACATTTTTAAACTACGTGAGAAACTATGCAGTTTCGTTTTTAAACTTCTTCACTCTGACGAGTGAATATTGGTGGAAGCTTCATCATAGAACGGACAGTTTTCTATTTATTGCACGTTTCAATAAAATCGATTACGTAGACAGGGAGTTTAATAGAATTATAGAAGCTTCGTAGCCTGACCTATTTCTACGATAAAATATGATAATAAATATAATACCTTTACCCTTTCATTTTTATTGAACTATTACTAAAAGATACATTACATTGTAGTCTGTGATATTGTATCTTCATTGTAATCAAAAAAACATTTTCTCTGCCTGACGAAGCACAATTTAAAGTACTCGCTCATTTTAAAATGTAACATTCGCGCTTTAAGTGGTATAAAGTCAAATAAGAAATGACTTTACTTGATTAGAAACGATAAACTTGAATGCACTTGGCGGACAATAGCAAGATACACTAGATAGGTAGTGTGTAGCCAGACCTATCGACGATGCATTGCCATGGAAACGGTACCGTCGCATGAGCAGTGTTGTGGTGCATAGTTCGTTGCGTATCTGCACAGATATTTTCAAGGGCAACTAGCTTCAAGCACATCTAGGATAGTATAAGATAATCCTTTGTACAATCGTCTTAACGATTTGGTATTATAATCTACTTGATCCAATAATTAGTCATATCGGCTGTTTTAATGGGTCCTTATTTAAAATGTAGTTTCTTCAAAATGTAATGGTTATTGATCATTGTCATCATGTTGTTTCAATGGTGTTGTTTTAAAAATTGATAAAAATTGATACGAATGAACATGTTGAGCGTCACACCGATTGTAGAATAATGTAACATGTATCGGTAGGAATGCAATAATGCGGTTGTGTTTCAGGAAACAGACGAAAGAGGGTGGAATGAGGAGATTTATCCGGTGACCTCGTGCCACGCGTGGTAATGCTACTGGCAAGCGGTGCTTCGATACCGACCATCGCCGGTACCGTCGAGGAGGAGGAAGAATATGCACGTAGCGAAGCGAACAGCGCACACTACGATGGCTATGTTACCGATCATACCGATCTTGCTTCCGAAATCGATATCGACGAATCCGAATACAGACGAGAACTTCTCAACGACGTACGTCGAGCTCCACATTATTATCAAATTAAATAATAAAATGCAAATATGCGTTCAATGCACTTGCATTTTGTAATGTACTTGCAATGTACCTGCACTGTGAGATGTAAAAGTGTAATGGGTGTGCGTGATATGTAAAAGTATTTGACATTGATTGGAAAAAGAAAATTCATTATAATACTTAGTGGGTTGAATAGATTCCCATGTAAATTATATTTTTTTAGTCACGTTCACAGAAATCCATGCACGACAGTTCACAGTTCAGTTGGTCGTACGCGTATGTTATACTTTGGCACAAATGAACTAGATAATTTAATCGTGGAAAATCTAGAAATATTAGGTCGTGTTTCATATAATTCTATTCTATTCGTTTTTGTTTGATTACAGAAATGGCGAATGCTGTTCGATAAGGTACGTCCAAGAGTTTCCCCGATCCAGTATCTATCAGCAGAAAATCAGCTTAGTCGACGCCTCGAGCATGACCGAATTTCTTTTTTTCTTTCTTTCTCCCATTGTCAGTTTGATCCCGAGGGTTTTGGCGAGATACCGGTGGAGGATTTTTTAGCGGCTTTGAAGAGCCCCGAATGGAAAGCTGAGATTCCGCCGAATAAACGAGATATTCTCCTTACCAGAGCAAAGGAATCGCGTGTTCAGGCGGTGACGTTCCAGGACTTCGTCAATGTGGTGAGTGGATGCATGCGAATTTCAATAAAACTTTCACGTAAAGTTTGTTTATATTACACCGCGCGTGTGTACGTGCATACGTGGTCAATGATTTTCTTTCTACCTGTTTCCTCTTCCTCGATAGTACCGTAACCGTGTACGCATGTACAAAAGTGGAAACTCCCATTAAAGTATCGCAATCGGCCGAACAAACTCGCGGAAGCGTGCATAAAACACGGCCCTTTCAATTCTCTCCAAACGCGTTAGAAACGCGTAGCTGATTCGTCAAAATATCGCGTACGATCGGAATCTGCTTAAGAGAGCGTGTCGGAAATAACATTCAAATATACACGCGTCAGATCTTTATCGAGGAACTTTGTGAAAGGAGCGCGAGTCTTGGTTTCTTGCTCGAGTCGCACGAAAGGGAGCGAGAGGAAACGAAACGAAACGAAACGAAACGGAACGAAACGAAACGATTGAAAAAGAAAAAAAGAAAACGAGGTTTACGGCGGTTAAATAGACTTATTCTGCTCGGCGGGCAAGCCTCGCAACCTTTTCATTGTCCGTTTCATTTGTCAATTCGAAAAATGCGGCTACGGCCTGGAATTTTTCGTTCTTCACGGTACTAGAAAGCGGGGAGGGGAGAAAGGACGAACCCGTGGACGAGAGGGTGGGGAAGAATGCGACGAAAAACTGCTAGATAAATATCGGAACAATGATAATCTCCCCGTTTAAAGGCACCGGTACACAACGACCAGCTAGCTCTTTGTTCGCGTTCGGATTTCGCTGACAACTTTTTGGCGGTTTTTCTCCTGCTCTCCTTTACTCACGGCGATCCCACCGGGGTGAGAGGTAAGCAGATCTGACATTGAGTGGCAGAAAATTGTCGGCGTGCAAAATCGAAATGGTTCGAATCGTTGGTTAAACGACGCGTAAACGGATCCTCCGACAAAACCGCGATTTACCGACGCTGGTATTGACATTCCAGCCAAAGATTGTACCTATCATACCATCATGCGAAATGATCTCGACCCTCGTTGTGTATTTTCCCCGATAAAATCGACCGATCCGGGCGTGTTCCGCATTTTTCTTTTCTTTCTTTTTTTTTTTTTTTCCTTCCTTTCGTTCCGTCTCGCTTGATTTTCCTTTGATTTCGCGTTTATCAAAGTTGCCTCGCTACGCGAGCGTGTACATATCAGCACAGTGTTTCTTTCCCGTGTGCCTTGTCGCGTTGATATTTCTTTGAAAATGCATGCACCTTCGATAAAGTAAATGTTAACGAAAATTATTTAAATCAGTTCTACACAAAACGCATTCTAAATGCATTTGTTATCGATCGTGCTTTATGCACTGCTGTATATTTTATCTCTGAACCAAATCTGTTTTGCTAGAAACTAATCCGTTCATCCGCATATTTTTCTTTTGGTTCAGAATGGTTTATTGATGTATTATATTATTCAACCGAAGATTATCGATAAATCTGAGGTTTGCAAATACCTCCAGGAAAAGGGAAAGCGGCCTTTCTCTAGTCCTCGGTATACAAATGTCTTTCTTGTATAAAAAGATTTCGTTTCTCTCAAAGGGAAATCCTTTGAGATAGTTGAGTTTGTCAGTCATTCTCTGAAAGTGTCCCCTTTCGAGAGAAGGAAATATTTCGTTCATTGTGTTTCGTAGTTATTTCCTTTGTCAGAAGCGGTAATATCGACGTTTAAGAATATTTTGAAGTAACGAAGTATAAATTAGTAATTACTCTCATAATTAGACCGCACGGATTCGTATCTTTGAGGATACAGTTAAGATCTCTTCTCAGTTAGAATTTCGGCTAGAAGAAAGCACTGAACTTTGGTTATTTTACAAATTCGTTTACCACAATCACTACGCAATCTCATATTTTACAAATGGATGAAAATCCACAGTTCATGATTATCCTCGCGACTCTCTAAACAGAACTAGTATTCATCCCTAATCTCCCACGACGTAAAAAGTAACGCGATTCACCTCTCTCTAGTAACTAACAGCAATAACTAATTCGATAAAATAACTCCTCATTCAATAAAATAACCGAATCATTTTACTCCTCTGTCACTCAACGATGTTCTGCCGCACAATGGCTAGATTTTGATTTTCACCGGTAGCCAATGCTGCTTGTTTAAGAATATTTTGAAGTAACGGTAGCCAATGCTGCAATGTTTAAGAATATTTTGAAGTAACGAATGAACTGACACGTATAAATTAGTAATTACTCTCATAATTAGACCGCACGGATTCGTATCTTTGGGGATACAGTTAAGATCTCTTCTCAGTTAGAATTTCGAGTAGAAAAAAGCACTGAACTTTGGTTATTTTACAAATTCGTTTACTACAATCACTACGCAATCTCATATTTTACAAATGGATGAAAATCCACAGTTCGTGATTATCCTCGCGACTCTCTAAACAGAACTAGTATTCATCCCTAATCTCCCACGACGTAAAAAGTAACGCGATTCACCTCTCTCTAGTAACTAACAGCAATAACTAATTCGATAAAATAACTCCTCATTCAATAAAATAACCGAATCATTTTACTCCTCTGTCACTCAACGATGTTCTGCCGCACAATGGCTAGATTTTGATTTTCACCGGTAGCCAATGCTGCTTGTTTAAGAATATTTTGAAGTAACGGTAGCCAATGCTGCAATGTTTAAGAATATTTTGAAGTAACGAATGAACTGACACGTATAAATTAGTAATTACTCTCATAATTAGACCGCACGGATTCGTATCTTTGGGGATACAGTTAAGATCTCTTCTCAGTTAGAATTTCG